AATTTTTTTTTAATATTTATTTTTTAGTTATCGGCGGACACAACATCTTTTGTTGGTATGTGGTGCTGAGGATCGAACCCGGGCGGCACGCACGCCAGGCGAGCGCACTACCGCTTGAGCCACATCCCCAGCCCTCTGTTTTCTATTCTATGCCATTGGTCTTCATGTCTGTTTTGGTGCCAATACCATGCTGTTTTTGTTACTATAGCTCTGGAGTATAATTTAAGGACTAGAACCAGACAAGGGACCCAAGCATGGCAAGGGCACTCAGGTGTGTATTTTGGTCTACTTAAGCCAAAATGGAAGATGAATTCACGTTTGATCACTCAAGCTGCAAGTCTTAAAAGTTACTATTTTATCAGACTAATCATTGCACTTCTTTACTCAGTTTTGGAAGTCTTACTATGTTCAAAGATCAGTTTAAAGGAACGGGTAAAATGTGAGCTCACGTGGCATTATACTCCCTGCATCAGCTTTGTGGCTTTACCACTTCTCCTGTAACACTGTGATGTTGCATATATCTCTTTAAGTATCAGTTTCCTAGTCCATAGGGTGATATTAGAGCTTACCTCCTTCATGGGGTCATTAAGAAGATTCAGTGTGATAATGAACTTAACCCAATGATTTAATAAATGTTGACTACTCAAATTATTAAGAATTAAGGTGTCCTCTATGCAGAGTCAACCCTCAGTATTTCATCGAGGTGGAACCAGAGATCTTTGAACTGACTCATCCCCACTGTTGTATTGAAGATCTTCCCTTTCTCCCTTCTCCACCTCGCTGCTTGTTCCAGGACGCAGCCGTGAACGGACATTAGTGGGTTCCCTAGCCCTCTGGTTTCCAGTATTCAGCTAGAGAAGGGAAGGAAAAGTGCTGAGAGCCATAGCCAAGTAGGAATGACTCATGGCAATTTCCTTGTCAGCCTACCCAATGTTGCTTAGAGGGAGGACTCTCCCTTGTGGAAATGGGCTTGCCTTGGACCCAGGTCATTTGCAGTGACACTGCATGAATGTTTGAGAGTTTTGGTTTGAAAGGTGATCTTGCTCAGGGATTGGGGCGGCTCCGGGTTTAGGGGTGGATCCTGCTGGATTAGGGTGGCTCCTGCTGGGAATAGGGCGTATCCTGCTGCCTCAAGCGCCCAACTCCTTGAGTTCCCGTGGAGTTCTCGCGGGGTTCTGAGAGTATTTGGTATGCAGAGCAAGGTGGAGGGTGTGTATTTTCCCCAGAACCTGCGTGTAGAGTGTGGGGGAGAGTTCGGGAATAAAGAGTTGCTGTTTGAATCTACAAGGTTTTTGTGGTGGCTCGGTTATTTTGTGCCCAGCCAGACTGTGGCAGAAGACGACCATCAATTCCCCTAGCTCCTTCCCCAAAGGGTCTGCAAAGTTTAATCATGCTCATTACAGAGACCACATTTCCTGGGAGGGAGGCCTTTAATCCAGGCCACCAACACTCCTAGCCTGTCCTCCTCAGGCAGTCAGACTATGCCCTATTAGAACTGGGTCTGGATTCTATGCTTTGACCTGTATTATCAGCCCACACTGCTCATGCCACTGTACCACGTGTCTCTGTCAAACTCTTGGTGTGTATCCTTCTCTATGTGAGGTCTGCACAACTGCTTTAAAAGTGTGTGTGGGGTTGGTGCTGTGATTGTGGCTCAGTGGTAGAGCACTTGCTGACATGTGTGAGGCACTGGCTTTGAATCTCAGTACCACATATAAATAAATAAATCAAATAAAAATCTATCAACAGCTAAAAAAAAATTTAAAAAAAAAAGTGTTCAGGGGGAAGAGAAAAGGAGAAATACCAATTCAACCAGGATTTGGAAGCTCACCAAATCATACGTGAATTCTTTCTCTGCACTGGCATAACTATGGCTGAGATGGTCAAATTTAACTATTGGTATGACCGGCACAGGCTCAGTGACACTTCTTTTCAGTTATTTTACAACTGATCCAGCCTTCTGCCTATACCTTCATTTGGGGGAACAAGTTGTCCAGTAGAACTCATAATCTTTCTCATTGTGAATAGCTCTTTGTCATTTTTCTCTTGAAGAACTGAATCAAGTATACAGCCAATCAAGCACACCAGGCTCTTGATAAATATTGCATCAAGGGATAATCAATTTAAGGGGGAATATATCATATTTGGTTCCTTAATTATGTAAATAGTCTGTTGAGCAGCAGTCTCTAAAATTTGCTGATCTAGTATTTTGACTATTATGGACATTTCATTCAGAATGAAATACAATATACCGTCTTCCATAAACTCCACGTTTTCGAGGTTCATCCATGTCGTAGTGTGCTTTCCGTCAGCCCTTCACATCATGTTTTCAATTCTCCTGCTTGAATATACCCATGATTGGAATTTCTTAGTCATATAACTTTTTCCTCCTTCTGGCCTTGGGGATTGACCATGCTACTGCCCTACTACTGAGCTATGCTGCAATCCCCATCCTTTTTTGCAGTATTGGGGATTGCACCCAGGGTGCTACTACACTCAGCTACATTCTGGGGCCACCAGCCACCTGCTCTGCCATCCACTTTTTAAAAAAAATTGAGACCAGATTAGCTTCAAATGGGATCCTCCTGCCTTAGCCTCCAGGGTAGCTGGGATTACAGGTGTGTGCACCCACACCCAGCCCTATGGTTAATTTTTAAAGGAATTGGCAACCTGTTTTCCAAAGTAACTGCACTGCCTTTCATTCCTACCAGTAATATGAGGATTTTAATCTCTCTACATGCTCACTAAGTTTTTTTTTTTCACTTTAGTTATCTGTAATAGTTTGAATGAGGTGTCTCCCCAAAGGTCCTGTGTGGATGTAGCAATATTCAAGAGGTGGATTATGAGAGCTGTAAATTAATGTCCATCGTCACTTGAATGGCTAATAACTATAAGCAGGTGGGACCCAGCTGAAGGACACGGGCATGCCCTGAAAGAGTTCATGTTCCTCTGGGTCCCTTCCCCTTTGATTCCTGGCCAGCCATGAATGGAGCAGTGCTCCTTTGCCAATCCCTTCTGCCATGATATTCTGCCTTGCTTTGGGGCCACAGCAATGGACTTGGCCTATCATGGACTGAACCTCTGAAACCATGAGCCTGAAATGATCTTTTCTCCTTCCTAAATTGTCAGGTATTTTGATCAGAGCAACACAAAGCTAACACGTAATCTTGGCGAAGGTGATGATTAATAATTCTGAACATCTTTTCATGTGCTTATTGATATTTGCATACCTTCCATGAAGGACAGTTTCTTTGCACATTTTTTAAATGGTCTATTTTATTGTTGAGTTTTAAGAGTTCTCTCTTTTGCATATCAGATTCTTACCAAATAAATGACTTGCAATTACTCTCATTCCAGTTTTGTTGATTTCAAATTTATCGTTTTTCTTATTGCTAACACAGTATAAACTCAATATTGAAGAAATGATTGCAAAACCAAGACCATGATTTACTGATATCTTTGTTTCCTTAGAATATTAAATCCTATGACCCATTTTGAGTTGTTCTGTATCTGGTGTTGAAGTAGGGGTATAATTTCATTCTTTAGGATGTGGATATCCTGCTTGTCACAATACCATTTGTTGAAAACACCATTTTTTTTCCCCCAATGAACTGTCTTGGCACCCTTATTAAAAACCAACTGACAGATAGGACGGTTTGCTTCTGTTGGCTATCTGGGTTCCTTGTGTTTCCATGTGAAATTTAGGACAAGCTTGGCAATTTCTGCAAAGTCAGCTGAGATTCCAACAGAAATTGTGTTGAATCTATAGATCAACTTGGTGAGGACCGTCACCTTGGCAATACTGAGATTTTTACTCCATTACCACGGAGGTATCTCTCCATTATTTAGGACTTTTAAATTTTCTTCCAATGATTGTTTCACATATTTTGGTATTCAAATTTGGTGCATACTTTGTTGAATTTATCCCTAAGCATTTTGTTCTGTTGCTATAATTGGAATTTCTTTCTTGATTTGATTGTTCATTGCTAGTGTGGAGATATACAATTGATTTTTACATATTGATCTTGTATCCTGCAACCTAGCTGGAACTATATTTTTGATCAGCAGCCTTACCCTAGTGTGCCTTGCTATAATATATTCAGCAGCTCGAGTTATTTGGTAATTCTTTTAATGTTTGATAAACTTAATTTCCTTTTAGTTGGTATTTCAATTCTAACCAAAATTATTTGGAGTACTGCTTTCTACCTAAAACTATTGGCTAAAATTTTGCTCCTCAGGGGCCAAAATAAAACCGTTTTGTTTCAGTAAACTAACATTTATTCAATTTTGCTCTTCCACAATGGTTGTGAAAAATTTTATTTTTAAATTTTATGTGGTGTTGAGGATGGAACCCAGTGCCTCATGCATGCTAGGTGTGCACTCTACCACTGAGCCACATCCCCAGTCCCTGGTAGTCAAATTTATACTTTATGCAGTAACTAAAGTGGAAAGACACAATCCTATCACCTTCTTAGCCCAGCCTTCTGCTTTTATACTCTAAGCACTATTCAAATACTGTAAACAATCAATATTCGTTCATTCTTAAAGGTCAGGAATAGCAGCTGCAGGGTGTTTTTTCTTCCTGATGGAATGGTATTGAGAGTAGGAAGCGTATGTTTAATGTTAACGTACAAAATACTGTATGGAAATCCTCTTAAATTAACACATCACTCCTGTATCATCACTGGCTGCTCATTTCATTCACTGGATTAAATGAGTTTTCAGATGATATTTGTGTGCTTCCCTGATATAACTGAGGTATCTTTTATTCGAGTACTAAGCATATATTATTTTCTTTGCCACCTACAGACAAGCCTAAAACCCTAAGCTTCTGGGGGAAAAGTTCTCTATCAAAAACAAAAAACAAACAAAACCCCAAAATGTTTCACAATGAATTGGAGAGAAAGATGCAAAAATCAATTTAAAACACTTAACAGAGACTTGACATTTATTGTGCAATTTTATCCCCAACAGAACATGTGGCATTCTAGAGGTATATGAGGTAATAAAATCAATACTCCAATTAGAACACCTGAAATAATTGGCTCTAGTAACAAATGTCTCTTATAATTAAAAATATTGAATGTTTAAAAAACTCTTATAACATTTTAAGTTCCTAAAAGAAATGTACCTAACACTTAAAAAACAACTTACTCTTCTATATAAATTGTTCACAAAAATTTTTCTTTTCTATTCTATATTACACTATGCATTTGTAGTTTTATTAACATTTCCCTAATGGGTATTAACTCTACACAGTACAATCAAATAGAAATTATTCATAGAGAATCCACAAGACTCCAACAATAAAAATATTAGGATCAATGGATTTGTCACAGTTTTTCCACAAGTATTCATCATAGAAAATAGAGTAAAGGCAAGTTGGCCCCAATGTTAGGCTGCTACATGAAATTCTAGAGAGAGGCATAAAGGCAATGCTTAAACCGGGCAGGGTCAGGCTGGACCAGTGACCTTGAAAGCTCTGTGACCTACCTCTGGCATGCCCTGTTCCTAAACTTGACCAGGCCCCTCATGACCTTGGCATGCTTGAACTTAAAACACAGCCAAATTGATGTTAAAGCCAAAACTATAGGAAAAGATCAACTTACTGTATATACCTACAAAATCTTCACAACCACTTTCACAATGACATTGTAAATTAAAACACTCTTCCACACCTGACTTAACTCTAAGGCTACAAATACAACAAATGTAGACAATGGAACATTGGCCCATGCCCAGTGCCACTTCTAGGAGCCCCCAAAGACTGTCATTTCACCAAATTAGATTTTTTCCCCTTTTTATATCCCTGTATTTTAATACTAGGACTATAAGACAAATGTGAAAGAACTAGCAGTTTTAATCTATTCACTTCTTTTAAATTAAAACTTTTCTGGTCTTCACAGATTGTTAGGTCAAACTTTATGCAGAAACCTGGGTAGTTTTCAGAGGATATGTATTTTGTATGCTCTTATTTAAGTACAAACAAATATCAACTTTTCCTTGCTGGCTTAAGTAAAAAAAAAAAAAAAATCCACCTAGAAGTGTAGATAAGTTTTGAGAACTGAGCTTTGACTACTGGGGAAAACTGAACGGGTCATCCCACTTACTGAACCTACAATGATCTTGATGGATCACTCGGTTTCCTTATCCACAGATAACAAAAGGAATGGCCTCAGGGGGTAGCTGTGATTGTATGAAAGAATGCATTACAGTGCTTATCAAAACAACTGGCAAACCAGAACACAATAGTTGCATTTCTTAGTTAGCTGTAGTTAACTATTCTAGTCATAGTGTTTTTGAATGGGCCCTAAGAAGAGTTTTCCAACATGGCCAAGACACATCTGGCCACTTGTACTAGTGCAATTATTCTGAGAATGAACAGGTTTTGAATAGGTTCTACTAGCACATGCACTTTCACTGCAATCTGGGGACTAGTGATTCAATGAAAACAAAGCCTTGTATTAACCAGCTGTGAGTGATGATGAGAAAAGCTTAATCTAGTCACTGTTATTGCAGGGATATAGTAATTTAATGCTTTCAACAATCAAACTGACCATGGTGGTCATTAGATGAGAGAAGTCCAACCCTTGCAATGTTTCCCACTATTTGATATACTGGTGAAGGGTAATAGTCATCTCTAATGTGTTAACATGTCAGCTAAGTTTTAACATTTACGTTTATAAGGTAAGTACTTAATGAGGTTTTTTTTTTTCAGAGGGGGGGTTTCTTGATGTTGTCTGATGTCAATTCACACTTCTGTAAAACAAAAACAAAAAGAAAATGAAAAATCCAATGCCACTGCCTAACAATGCAAGCAACTTTGCCATAGTCTGGGTGACATTTCCCTCCATTATTTCAAGTGAAGCAGTTATTTTTATCCAGTACTTAAATGACTGAAAGAAGCCATCACTATGTTTACAAAAATACATAATGATACATACTGTTGTTTAGACACATTTACATTAGAGTTCTGACTTGAGCATTCCATTTGACATGTTTTGCCAAGCAGCTTTGGCACATGTCACTACATTAAACTTACACCAGCAAGATTTGCACCATATGTGCAAAATCATTTTCTATTACATTTCTACAAATCTGTATATAAGAGCTGTCAAAAATTAACACAGATCTGTACTATGAAATGACATAGCACTGAATGAGAAACGTTATACATTTAAATGCGTTATCCAAGAATGAAACTTTAAAAAATTGAAATCTAATAAACTGAGGAGGTAGTCAATGGGTATTAGGTTTAAGTCTAGAGCACATATTGAATGATAGAATCCAAATGAGAGTGCAATGTGTGTTTGTGTTTCTAAACATTGTATACTTCATCTTTATATAATGCTCCATCCATTTTTTGAGAGCAACAGAAGGGAGGCACAAGTCATTAAAAGCAGCAGGGAAATGTAGAAATCACAAATCAGCAGATTCTAAAGTTTGGGTTCTTGTCTAGGTTTTGCATAAATATCAGGTGTTACAAGAAAGTTACTGGATTTAAAACATTTTATCAACATCAGTTACCATTACTTGATGCCACACAGAGTAGCTGGGTCAAATTAAAGATTATAACAACATACATATGTATCTCCTGATAGTCCTGATGAGACTCTTCTATAAATGTGTTTTATTACTTATGAAGAGCTAAAGAATGATCCAAAATATATAATCACTCACTTCACTTTTACTGATGCTGTGGTGGAAAAAGGAATACCAAGCAGGAAGGGCTGCCCAGGTTTAAGGACTGGAGAAAACATTTTCAAGTAAATTGAAATGTTTCCAGTTTTTCTCAAAAGCACTTAACACTTGGGGGAACCAACCATGAGATTTCTGAACAATGCACCGTCAGAAAGTGTGAGAACTGTGACTTGGTTCAATGGCTTGCAGAATATTGCTCCCCTCCCCAGGTTCCTGATCTAAGTTACTGACAGCTCTTTCCAGGGTTATCCTTAACCTGGCTGGAACCATGCTGGGGCTTCAGTTTACTTTGAGAAGCAGAAATATGGAAAACACAAGGAATGCCAAGACACTGTCACTTTTGGTAGGTATGGACTCTTCTGATAGCTTGTACCCTGGACCCATCTAGCCATTGACAAAATTGCCACATTTGGTCTTTGCAGTCAGATTAGCCCTGGGACCATCTCTCACCAATGAAATGGAACACATCTGCATTCCTAGAGTTTTAACAATTACACCAATGCTGAAATGATTCAAGGGAAAAAGTTGACAAAAGAACAATGTGTCCGACTACCAAAGATGTGGCAAATCAATCAAGAAAACAAGCCACACCACCAAATCTCTAGATCATGGGAAAGCTAACAGCTATAATGGGATGTCATCTTTAGTGGTGAGTTAAACTGCCAGAGGCTGCTGACCCTTACCAAAAAATACATCCTTTGTTAAGATCTGATTTAACAATGAGGTGACCATGTAGGAATCTTTAACACACCCAGGTAACACACTAGCCTACAGGTGAAGCTCAAACGGCAGCACAGATACTCGATAAGGAGAGGGGCCAGATTATCTGAACTGATGTTGCACCTGGGTCAGGTGGTAAACTAAACAGGTGGGATGCACAAGACTCAGTGTTGAGGACAATGGAACACAAGACTCCAGGCTGGGGATCACAGGTCTAGACACAAAGAGAAGCATGAGATGTGGCTATGGGATGCTGATTAAGTTATCCCTGTGGGCCTTAGCTTCCTTAAGTGCAAGATAGCCAATCTGTGTTTGAACAGTCTAGAATTTGTAGCATATTAAAAGACAGCTGATAATTCACCTGGAAGGGGGTGCAGGGGAGGGAAGAGAGTAGGTATGCCTCTGGAACAAAGGTGGTGTGGCAAGCCTGGCACAGCAGCTGTCTTGGTGATGAAAAAAACTCCAGCCACTCTGTGGGTTCTTTCCCTGACAAGCAGGTTGCATGAGACTGCACACCACCCTCAGGGAAGAACAGCACAATGCAGGGCTATGCACAGATGAGAAGAAATGTGCAGAACCCTCAAATTTACAGGTAAATAGTAAGAGAAGTTTTTCTTAAAAGCTGTGATTAAGTTTTGCTGCTACAGAAAAATGACAATGTACCTTGCAGTAATGATGACTATAGCCCAGGATGAAAAAAGATGGAAAAACAGATAAGGCTATGGTGGTGTTTTTCTTCTGCACAAGGTTTCATGTCATCAAAGAAATCTCATAAGACACTGACTTTCTGGACCTCTAAAACCACAAGAAGTATCCTTGCATCCTTGAATAGCCAAAGATATTGGTCTCACAGTTGCCATAAGAGACACTGAATTTGCTAACATAATTTTACTTCCAACCTTGAGCTAATTCACCCAAGAGGATCTCCCTAAATCGTCCAACAAATCTGAGAAATGACGATCTCCATAAACAAACTTTTAAAGAAAGATTAGTTTTTAGGATTTCACATACACTGGATACTAATTATTGAATGCAAAGAATTTGCGATTTTACTTTAACAAAATATAGCATGCTCATGAATTAAAAATTTTCATCCAATTTTCAAAACCTGTGTTCACAGATGACATTAACAGCCTTCTATAAATGCTGCCCATTTAGTTCTTTGTTCAACAAAGAATGTACTAATCTGAACTTGTTTGCTAAAGGAATTTTCTCCTCACCTCCAAAGCTGAACAACTAACCTTCTGGAAATGATTCTAGCACCTCTGTAACATTTGTTGATAGGAAAGGTTCCAAAGACATAACTAATTTCACATATGAAGCTCAATAAATTAAAAAGAAGTTGAGTTGGAGTGGAACAGTGTTAACGGACCCAGAGTCTGGAATGCAGGGGAATCCTGGGGCAAAGGCGGCATACAGATCGCATGAGACATTTTCATCAAGACAATGGGAAACAGATAAAACCTAAATATCAACACAGCACAGAAAACCTCTCAAATTTTGAAGAAATTATGAACAAGCCCATTGCATAGTTATTAGAATGGCCTTGAGGCAGGTGTGTTCTCAATGCCTGAACATCTGATCAGTGCAGCAAATACCACAGGTTGCACCACGAGCTTGGTCTCAGTGCACCAAACTAATTGATGGAATTATCACTGTTCAACCCCCTACTTTGGCATTGTGTTGACAAAGCCTGACTTAATGCTATGGAACCTATGCATCTATGAACCAAGATATCAAACATTTGAAAATGATTTTGAATCTTTGGATGTTTCTTGATTGGCTTAATAAAAAATGACTACTATTTGTAAACTCCAGAGATCACACAGTGCCCTTTTGATCAACACAGTGGAAGTTTTCTTTATAAATAAACAACAAAAAAGTAGTTAACTTCCAATTAACCACTGTCTATACCAATGGCCTCTGTTCTCTGGCTTCTTATTAATAATAGACTTTTTGTAACATACAGACAGCATGTGATATCTTTGCTGAGAACTCAGAATTCAAGTATTTGGAAAACATGGACTATTTACTTGAATTAAAATAAGAGAAAACTTTTTCTTTGTCCCTCACAATAACTCCCATGTCTTGCCTTCTCTCATGGGCAAACACTAACTCACCATTCCTTGAAGCTACCTCTGCTTAAGAAGCAGAGCTTACCTGAAGATGTAGGACAGGTGAGTAGGAGCTCACCTATTTTTCTACCCTCACTGTCTAGCCAGTAATCACTTAAAATCAACTACAGTTTCTTTCTTTTTTATACTACTAAAGTCTGTTGTAGGTGCCATATACTTCCCAAACAACCCTAAAATGGATTTCTATTTGGGAACTGTGGTCAAGGGAGTCTTAAGGTTGAGAATGTGTGAAGTATGACTGAACAACATGCTTTGGACTCTCAGGTGATGGTAAATAAACATTCACAATTGGAGCTCTTGAAAGGATCAGCTGCTACAGCGGGAAGATTCTGTACACTAATCCCCAGATCCATCCTGTGAACTTTTATTGAAGACTTCATCCTGTGAAGCCTGGTGATCGATTCCTTCATAAAATGAGCCACCGTTGTGCAGGAAAGTTCCCACTGCCCGCCCCTGCCGGGCATGACCCACAGCATCGCTGAACACTTTGTTTATCTGCTCCTCGGAGGGCATCCACCAATCGGGGTTGGAGGTGCAGTGCATCCTAATGAATTCTGCGGGAATATACACAACAGTAAAGAGAGAGAGAAAAAAACAATGGCAGGTTTTGACAGATGACAACAGGACAGGCTGCTCAAACATTAACAGAAGCTCCATCAGAAAAGCTGTATGGGAGATCCAATGCAGTGCCATGATGAGGTCACTTATTACACCCAACTTATTCCAAACCAATTTTCTTCTCATATGTACAAGTAAAAATCCCCTAAGGGAGAGGTCATCTTGCTAAGGAACATTTGCTGTTGAAAACAAAGGTAAATTTGATCAGTAAGACATTGTGTGCACCATGCCTGGTGCAGGTTAGTAATGGAGCACACTGATATTTTGAGAAAGTTAAATCAAGAAGCACAGCAAATATCATTAGCATGGTATTCTTTAACTAGCTAAGAGTTTAAAGACTGAGCACAATAAAATGGCAGGGTCTTAATGAGAGGGAGGGTACTAATTCAGAGAAGGTTTCTTCATTCTTAAAATGCTGCAAGATGGGCTACACTTCCTTCTCAAATTGAAATATCTACATATTTACTAGCATAATATATGATCTCAACTAAATATTTAATGTTACCAGAATATAATCAGCATGCTTGGAGGAGGGATAGCTCAGCTGCCTTTGCATGATCACCATTTCTTGCCCATGGATTTTATACTTAAGGGCTGGATAAAAGCTGTGGGTTATGCCCCATGTGGGAAATGTACTAGAGACTGTGGACTCTGGCTAGGCAGCCTGGCCAGCATCAGTGTGACCATGGACCAGCAGTGTTCTTCAGGCAATGGCATTGGTTCTCTGGGATGTCTTTTCATCCCTCTGTTTCTCTGACTTGCTATTAACATAAGATGTGAATCAAGTTTCTAGAAAGGGATACGGTTGTGACACCCCTCATCTTGGCTCCTTTGTAAGCCTAAGGGCAACTTTGTTGAATATATATAAAGAGTGCACCCAGTAGAGCCCCAAGCTCAATACCGCCTGTTGGTGAATAAGTCCATCACTTTTGATGATATTGGGGAATAAGAGAAACTATGGCTAGTTTGCTAAATGAACCTTAGTAAGTTCCATCACCTAGTCAGTTTAAGTAAAATTTTCAGATTGGCCAATGAGAGGTAGGCTCTGGAGTATATCCAGTTAATACTGGTATTTTTCTCAGATGGTTTCCTGAGGCATGGGCCACTTACATGAGGATCAACAAGATCACCTAGGATGATCATAGCCAGGAGCCATGCATGCTGAATGAGAAATCTCTGGCGTGGGCTAAGAATCTTAATTGCTAATAAATACCATGTATTCAGCCTAGCCACTTATGGTTGCAGAAACCAAGTGCTTACGGTAAGGTGGCACTCATCAGGGAACATAGGGATATTCTTTCCAATAAACAAAGACTTTATCAGTGGTAACTAAAAAAAAAAAAAAAAAAAAACCCCCAAAACTATAATTTCTTCATCAGGAAAATTTTTGATCCCTACCCAGATTAAACCAGTATTAAAACTTTATAGTCAATAAAACTGCTATTGAAGTATACTAGTTAATACTAATGTGGATTTTTCAGATGTGCCAGTGTTCAGTTGGCACTATTATGTTTCTACTTGTCTAGATGTTTATTTGTATCTTTCAAATCAACTGTGTACCTCATCCTGATTCCTCCTCCTCACATCTGCCTGCTTTCAATAGTGCAGATCAGCTGCAAAATAATCACCAGTTAATACGAATGAAATGATAGTATTATCTGAATACTTAGAATTTTTTTCTTCTTTTTTTGTGGTACTAGGAATTGAACCCAGGGGTACTCTACCACTGAACTACATTCTCTGCTCTTCTTATTTTTAAAACTTTGAGACAGGTCTAAGTTGCCCAGACTGGTCTTAAACTTGCCATCCTCCTGCCTCAGCCTCCAGAGTCACTGAGCCCAGCTCTAAGCAGTATTTTTAATACAGAAACTTTAAACCAAAACAAAGTTTTACTGGGTAAGATATCCTGCAGGCACTAAGGAAAATTAATTCTAAACAAACTTAAGGAGTTGGGTTGAGTATTCTTGAGAAGAAAGCTAGGGGAGGGTGGCAGGCTAGAAGTGGAAACAAAGTTCTATTTTACCAAATTAAAAAAAATATACTCCACATCTTCCTTTCTATTGTGCATTTCCCTATGCTCCCATTTTGCCAGAAATGGCCTCCTCTGAAAGCAAAAATAAATCTGAATTTAAAGCGTGAAACATGAGGTGCTATGCAATGCTTATGTACCATTAAGTGAGAACAACGAGGCTAAAGCAAACGATTTTTTACAGAGCTTCTCACTACCAGGTAGATGGGCCACATGAAGTCTATACGCTTCTCAGTGGAAAGAAATCAAAATACAGTAAGGCTGAACACTTGTACGGGGCAGCCACAGCCAATGCGGTGAAATGGGATCACGGATGGTGGACACTGAGCGGAAGGATGCAGTACCTCGGAGGCATGTGACTTTAACTGGATCCAGAGGGCGTCTTTCAGGACCTGTCTCTCCTGACTGCACTGACCTTTTCCTTTTCCCAAGGCCGCATGAGTACTTAAGCTCATCGGTTGTGAAAACAAATCTGATGAGGTAGCGAAGGAGCCTTCTCCCATCTTTCTTTGAAGAATTTACAGCCTCGTCCCACTGTTTGCTCGTTATGTAGACGGGATAGTTGTTCAACAGCTGCTTGCTTCCCTGGAAAAGCAAAATATTTTCTCATTACCTACTGAGCCAGCCAGCCAGAAGCCAAAGTGATCTCCATTTCAAAGGCAAACCTGCTTTTTAACCAAGTGGCTATGCTGACAATGAACCGGTACTGAAGAGCACAAGTAATTGCTCACACTCAGAAAACGGGCACTTTTCAAATTACATTTGCATTTTCTATAACAAGAGCCAATGAGGTATAATGAACACCTTTGAAAGAGGAGCTATTTATAACTCGCATTTTAACAGGTAGGTTAAAATGTGTCAAGATCCAATGACAGGAAACACTATTTAAATATAACCTGTAACTTTCCTTTTCAATCTATTAAAATATGCAAAAAATGACTTTGAAGAGTGTGATCAAACAGGTCCCTTCATCCTCTGGTTGGCAGTTAAGTACTTTTAGAAATGGTGCTGGTGGTCTAAATTAATCAGATATTACCCGTGTTTAAAGCACCTAACACCTGATAGCCATTGTGTTACAGTGGAAACAAGATTAAAAAAAGTGATTTTTAAAAAAGGGGAGTTGTAGAAACTGGAAAAAAAACATTAACAATAATGCAAAACAGGTTTCCTCAAATTATAGCTTCTACAAATGCCACTATGTCAACTCAAAATTTTTCTTACTTTTCACCTTCATAATTTATGTCTGCTATAAAATTCCCAGGCTAAATAGCTGCAGTGGGACTAATTATGGGAATTTCTGTAACATTTATAAGCCATGTTTAGTCAATTGCACCTACACAACCATTACTTTAGTTCTGGCTGTCCATAAAATTCTACAGTCCAGGACAAATTAATTAACCCATGATCTCAGTTTTAATGTACTCTTTCCCCAGTAATTAAGGTGTACAAAATAAAGAAGGAAAAACTCATTCAGTTTTACAACTCTGCAAATTTACTACAGGTTATAAATTTGGCACCGTTTGGGTCTGACAAGGTTTTATTTCAAAAAGTGCTCTGCTTAGTTAAGCACTGAGAAAGGTAAGTGGTAGAGAAGTCAACAGAAAAAGGCAGCCAGAGCTGGCTAGGAAACTGTCAGTAAACTGTGCACATGGAAACTCATCACTTCAGTTTTTCCAGAAAGCTATATAGTGTGACTTGATTTCCCTTCTTAAGGGAAGCAGTTGAGGCTGCAGTTTGTGCTATGGATTTAGAGACAAGCTGGATTTAAGATGATTCTTGTTTTTTTTTTTTTTTTTTGTCTTAGATTAATGTGAGCAAAGTACTCAACCTTGTTGGAACAAAAGTTTCTCCATCTGTAAAATACAAGAAACCGTATTATAATGTGTTTATGAAGTGAGCATTTGGGAGCATATACCAATCCTTGGTTCTGTGTACAATGAGGGGGGCATAGTGTGTAAGAGGTGACTGATCAGAAGACAGGCAGAAACTAACGTTTTATAGCTTGGGAAATGGGAAGTGAGATATAAGTACTCTGGAGCAGTGCAGTTACAGAAGAGGGAATGAGATGTAGAATCAAGAGCACCAGGCAACCAATCCAGTGACTAGGTTATGGGAGATGGAGGTAAGATGATTCCTAAGTAAAAAGGTGGTATCTTGCACAGATAACAGAATATGGCTGGGAGAAGAGAGCAAACAGGGAAAAAAATCTCACTGCTTCTCATGCACTGAGAGGGAAGGGCTTATCAGGGCTCTATCCAGTTGACCCCCTCAGCCCTCAGGGCAGCCAGGAGCGGGGATGAGTGAAATCCAGGCTGGCTGGCCAGAATCATTCCTGGTGTCAAAAGCACCTTTGTAGAAAAACTTTATTAATAACTGTCACCATTTATTGAGCAACTGATGACCAGCCTGAGGTGCTTGCCCCAAGCCCTAGGCATGCTGGCCTCCTTTCTCCTCCCCTGCAGCAGTGTCAGTCCAACTGCAAAGCTGGACTCTGGGCTCACCCTTGGGTAGGTAACTAACTTCTCCAAACTCAACTCCTTTCTGTATCCTTTCTGTCAGAATAGGGATACTACTCCAAGCTTGCTGGTGTATATAGTGAGGCTTCCACCGATGTCCTACCAGATGAAGAGCTCTTGAGAATCAGGATTTTTATCATTTTACACAATATCCTACTCCCAGGGTGCAAACCAGCACCTGTCACATAGTAGGTATAATAAACATGTCCCACGACTGATGTAGTACAATGCTTACTACTGTGGCTGGCACAAGGTGGACACTAAGGGCAGCTACAGGAAAGAGTGCCTATCTTTTAACCACTGTGGCACTGAGACACTTGAAAAGAGCTGATGAACATAAATTGGCAAAGTTAAAAGAAATTTAAGGAGAGCAACAGATATACAAGGGTCTATTAATTTAAAATGTTCCCGTATTTAAGGTCCCTGTATATATACTTGTCCATTTTGGAAAAGGAGATTGTTTATTTAACACTATATTAAAAAATGTTTTCCCTCAGGTGTGTGGAGCTCACCTGCAAGGTAGGATTATGGCTATTTTACCAAGGTCCCAGGATGCAAAGGGGTGGGTTCTTGAATTTGGGGACATGATGCCATGCTATACCCCTAAAGCCAGTCTATTTCAAGATGGGAAGCTGTGGTTTGGAAGCTGGCAATCCAAGAAAGCTACTTTTTCAAATCCTTTTAAAAATCCACTTATAGAAGAGCTCAGAACTCTTCCAAAATGCAGAAGCTCTACATAAAATATTGTCTCATAAAATGTAGAAATATCATTTAGAGGTAATTTTCATCAAGAAAAAGGAAAAGAAAGAGAATACGTAATTTACAGCCCAAAACACAACTCAGAATGCCCTGTGGGTTATGGATGAGAGTTATAATCCTGTTGTGGCATAGTTAATAGAAATAAAATGTGACAAATAATAAAAATGAGAAAATGCTCATGTGCTTGAAATGATAATAAAAATAGAATAGTAATAATGATGATGATGGGTAATAAAAGTTTAAATAGTCCTATCCAACAGAAATGCAGATATTTTTTCCACTGTTTTTTACATTTTTATGGAATTCTGATTCTCTAGCCTCTTCAATTAGCCACCAACAGGTTATAAACGCTGATCTGTTGTTGAGTCACTTTGATAAAACTAAGATAAATAACCCTAAATTAAAGTCTTTGCAGGCTCATAGCCAAACAGAAGACACAGGTGTACATTAAGTAAGGTGTGGAGTTCTGCATTAGACCTGTGAACAATGTGCTATGTGAGCATAAAACAGGAAGGGCAGTCGGGGAGAGCTTCCTGTAAGAAGTGGCTTTTCATCTCTGTTTACATTTATATGACAAAAGTGTCAAGTACGAAATGTAGACTTTATTATTAGTCTGAGTAATGAAAGGATTTTAAGCAAGTAACATTTAGTTTGGATCTGTAATTTAGAAGATAGAGATGAAACATCTATTCTAATACTCCAGGTGTAAAGTGCTAAGTGCAGCTCAGAAAGAAGATAGGCAATTCACATGGCTGTAGAATCAGCGCATGCCAGGAGGAAGGAGGGGACAGCCAGGGACGTTGTCAGAAACTCCTACCTGGGTTTGGTGGGACTGTTACTGAAGAGAAAACATGAGCATGTGTGTTCAGAGTGAGGGTGATGAGGTTCAGGGGGTGTGTGGGCACCCCAAGTGGTGTAGTAGACAGTGGCATAAGGTTGAGCTGTGGGGACTAGGGCTCTCCATAGCCACTGGAACTTCTTAACCTTCAAGCGGTGGATGTTATAAGGAACAGAAATGAACAGAGAAGAGCAAGAGAAGATGAAGAATGAAACTCTGGGGAACAATGGATGGAAAACTCTTGAGAGTGCAGTAAGAAAAGGATGGGGAATCCAGAGAAAGTACCAATGCTAAGGCCAAGAAGAAAAGAGATAAGGGCTACAAGAAGGTCCCTGGGGCGGGTAACCAGCAAAGGTACCTGAAAACATTCCAGGGGGTAGTGAAAGTAGAGTGAGATTACAGGGTGGAGAGCAGATGGGAACTAGGAGAGTAGGGACGGTGAACAGGGACTAGTCTTCAAGTGTTTAATTCATTAAAAAAGGGAGGTCATCATTCAGCAAACATGAACTGAGGACCTTCTAGGACAGATACTGGGGATACTACTGGGGATAAGACCTGGGCTCCAAGCTCAAGGAGCAAGACGTGTCATGGTGTGGCAGGAAAGTACTGTCAGAGGGTGATGTGAGAGCATACTGCAATGGAAGGAAAAAGAAAGAATATCAATTGAGGAAGGAAGGGGGAAGTAAAGGGAGGCTTTTTTAGGGTAGGCAAGACTCGAGTGTGTTTGATAGTGTTCTTAAGCCTTGGAAAGAAAAGAACACATATTCACCACCAAGCCTTCAATACCTTGTAAAGATGGACCATGTCTAAACCGACATACCATTACCTTCAAAATGCACCGTTTCTCCTACACTTGGAGAGACTGTTGTTTCTTCTACTGAACTCAGGAGAAAAAGTGGCTCATGTTCAGGAGCCCTAGGCCAGGAAAACAGCCCACCTGAACTCCAGAGAATGTCAGGTGGGAGATGCTCCATCATGAAAGGCATTATGGAACACCAACTCTGCCTGAGGGTGCGAAAGGTGGGTGTCTCCCACTGTAGGCCCTTGCTGGGCCAAAGGAAAGGTGGAACTGCCTGTGATATTTCTTCTTTCTTTCCCCCTTCAGAGTGCAGAGCTGAATCTTTATGAGCAAAACACATGCCTTCCCCTTCCCCACAGAACACATACATGCAGACAACAGATCATCAACTTTAGTCAGATATGTTACCTGGCTAGCCAATCTATTCTGGCATAGACCAGTTATCAAAAGGCTTCATCTTAAGGAAATTCCACACAGAACTTACTTATCTTTGGACCCCCAAGACCTACCTCGGTGGGCTGGTCGGCTGGCTGTGGCATCAGGAGTTGGTTATGGTGCTGCAGTACCGTCTTCAGGTAATCTAAAACGGTCTGGCAGGGCACTGGGAGGAAGGAAAGGCAACAGTTACACATTAGCTAGCCCTCAACATGAAAATAAACTCTTGAGGTCTAAAAACACTGTTGATGTGAACTTCTAAAAAAAAGGATCTGTTTTCTAAAGGAAATAGAATCTCCTTTCATTTGACATCCGCAGTTATTTCAGTTAGTAAATACAGAACAGATGCTACAGTTTGGGGACAATTTTTAGGATCAGCACAATTTGAGATCTTTCAAGTCCAACTTACTCCAATGCAAATCTGGGGCAACAATAACGATCATGAATAACTCAAAGAAGAGATGTGAACTCTGACTTTACTTTTGGTATAAGCACCTGATGGCACTTTTAAAATTAAAGCACTTAAAGCTAATATTTCTCTGGCTGATAATGATACTCATTGCTATGGTTTAAATGCAGTTTTTCCCTCTAAGGATCATAAGCTGAAGCTTGGTTTCTGCAGTGTCAATGCTGGGAGATGGTGGGACTTCTTAAGAGGTGGAGCACAGTGCAAGGCTTCTGAGTCAACAGGCAATGCCCTGGGAAGGAACAGTGGGTCCCTTAGTTAGTACCTGAGAGAAGGGTAGTTATAAAAGATCAAGTCTGCCCCAGCCCTCCTCAAGCCCTAGCTTCCTGGCCCACCATATGATCTCCTTTTCACACCTCCTCCCACCATGATGCTATCTGCACAGAATGATGCAGCCAGGACCCTTGCCAGAGCCAGCACCTTAGTGTTTTAGCCTGTAGCATCCCAAACTGAGCTAATAAACTTCTAAGTTACTCAGCTTTGGGTATTTCACTATAATAATAAACAGATATGTTCTTTCTTTCTTTTTTTGGAGACAGGGCCTTGCAAAGTTGCTGAGGCTGGTTTTGAACTTGTGATCCTCCTGAGCTGCTGGAATTACAGGCATGCGCCACTGTGCCCAGTTGAAGAAGTTCATTTTTAATGACAGAATCAATCTAGTTTATTAACAAACAGGAATCCTATTCAATCGAAATTTGATTCCCAACACCTATCACCTAGTTCTTACTGAATGCATCCCTTTCTCTGGTTTTAACAAGGTCCATTGATTTGGTCCAATTCAGACTTGGTATGTGTTTCATTGACTATTACACTATTTTTTTTTGAGACTTTGTCTTATATATTCATTTAATAATTACAGTAAAACTGAATAGATATTAACCCAATAGAACATGACTTTTTTGTTCCATTACATAAATAATGCCTACATCTTAAGATTTACATTAGCACTCTTTCAGGAATTTTGACTAATTGCTTTCAAAGGTCTTGGTAGCTTAGTTAAGAATCTAATTTATATGAATTGTTGCCACTATCTTTCTTAGCTGTGTTTTTCTAAGATGTTTTTGTCACATTAAAGAAAATAATAAATATTTAACCTAAGCCCCAGTTTTAAAGTATCACCACAGAGCTTTCTTCACTTTCTTTTTCTCACTTTTTTTTTTCTTCAGATAGCAGACAGAAGTTATCATTTTTATCCCCTGCTAATGGCTTTGGGTTTTCAGGTGACATCACATAACAAACTAAAAATTATATCAACAGCCTTTTGAAGAATTTAAATGACAAGAAGTAGAAGTAGGTTAAGAAATCTTTCTTCTTGCCCCTGAATTATTTTCTTTAATAACCATCCTTACAGACCTGTGTTATGGCCATCACAAATAGCCCTCCGAATGTATTCTTCAAATTGAAGTAGCATTTGCTGCACAGCCACAGAGGTCAACCAAAGTAGCCACGGTGGTGTCAGTTTGAAGTAGGCCTATTACTACACCACAGTTTAATAAAACCTGTCAACTCCTGATTTCAGCCTGTGAAAGCCCAATCCACTTTACAGATGCCATAGTGAGAAGGATGCCTCTTTTGGCTTTGGACATTAATTACTGGGAAAAAAAATAAAATAAAGCAGAATTGAGAAACTAACAGAGGCAGGAGACAGGGCTGTATTTTAGTTCTGGGGTTTTTACTCATTGTGTGGCCTTTGTTTACTTATTTTTAAAATTTTTTGGTGCTGGGGACTGAACCCAGGGGCACTTTACCAATGAGCCACATTCCCACTCCTTTTTAATTGTAGACAAGATTTTGCTAAGTTGCTGTGGCTGTTCTGGAACTTACCATCTTTCTGCCTCAGCCACCCAAGCTGCTTAGAGGATTACAGGTGTGTGCCACCGCACCTGGGTAATTTATCTGGTCTTTAGAACATCATTTAACTTTTGTGATGTTTGAGTCTCTTCTAGACGGGGCTGCATATGAGGATCCAAAGTAGCACTTTCTTCTTCACAGTTTATGATAAGGATAAAATGCAACAGTACATATGACTGCCTCACCAAGTGACAGGTGCAAGGAATGACCTTGGATTCAGCTCGGAAGTTTTACCAAAATTTTGTAAATGTAATTAGGATTTGAATGAACTTCCTTTGATTCCTTACTCATATTTTACAGTCATTAAGATTATGAAAAAACTTTTAAATGAAGCACAAAAAATGCTTACGAGGTGGCATATAAAATGGAATATTCAGTATGACTTCAACCATGTTAAAAATAATTATATGTATAGCAAAGAGATAGGAAAGAAATAAGCCAAAGTGCTAATAATAATAATAATTTACAATGAGGGGCTGGGGTTGTGGCTCAGGGTAGAGTGCTCGCCTAGCATATGTGAGGTACCGGGTTCGATCCTCAGAACCACATATAAATAAATAAAATAAAAGTATTGTGTCCACCTACAACTAAAAAAAAATTATTTAAAAAAATAATTAGCAATGATTTATATTTCAGTTGTGGGATTATGGTAGTTGTTACTCCTTTCTCCTTTGTCATCCTTATAAAAACCAGTACCAGTACAGGTTGAGCATATCTAATTTAAAAATCCAAAAATGCCCCCAAATCTGAAACTTTGAGGGCCAACAGGACATTACAAGGAGAAAATTTCACACCTGATTTTGTGTGATGGGCTGCAGTAAAAATGCAGGCACACTGAAAAGTTTGTATAAAATCACCTTCACGCTACTTGTATGAGGTGTATATGAAACATTAATTGACGTTGTGCTTAGACTAAGATGTCCTTTAAGGATATCTTATTATGTATATGCAAATATCCCCAAATTAGCAGAACTCCAGAATGTGGGAAGTTGTAATCCTAAGCATTTCAAATAAGAGATACTTAACCTGTATTGTAAAGAATTAATTTAAAAGTCTGGAAAACACCTCTATGACTGTCATGTCTCCTCCCTTGCATCTATTACCTTCCATGGGGAATACAAAGCCCTGGCAGAGCTAAGAGGCCAACTCTCCCTGCTTTTCACACACCCAGCATTTAGGCAGCAGTGCTAAGCTAGCCATCACCAAGGCCAGCTGATTTATCCATGCTAGAAGAAAATAGAATTGTATGTGCATCTGCTGGCTAGCTATAGGGGGCCCGATTTAGGGCAGGAAGACAGGACAAAACTCCTACTAGTGGACTGTTTAACCAACTGAAACAGCCACTGCTTTGGGCATGCTGAGTGATTCCCTTCTTCCAGGCTTTTCCCTGATGTCCTCCCCATCAGTGATCCTGCAAGGCAGATGCACCTCGGCCCCTCCAGTCCAGGGCCAGAGTGCACTCCCATTAAGAAAGGGGAGTGGACTGGGGATGTGGCTCAAGCGGTAGCGTGCTCGCCTGGCATGCGTGCGCCCGGTTCGATCCTCAGCACCACATACCAACAAAGATGTGTCCGCCAACTAAAAAATAAATATTAAAAAAAAAATCTCTCTCTCTCTCTCTCCTCTCTCACTCTCTTTAAAAAAAAAAAAAAGGGGAGTATTCATTCTTCTTGGCTGAGGACTCTGGATAATTGCCTGGATTTTAACAGGAAGGCCACAGAATCAAGTGCAATGTTTTCTGTGGGGTTGAGGGGGATACCTCAAAATCAATCAATTTGGAAAACAGAGGTGAGTATAAACTGTATTTGAAACATAAATGAATTCTGTTTATTAAAGGAGAGGTAAAACATACCCTGACCCACAGCTTCACCATGCTGCCTGCCTAGAAGAAGCACAGGACACTGTAAGGGAGTTGTGGAAAATCTCCTGTTCTCTTGTTCCTTTGTCTTATTCACCTACAGTTTGTGGACTGCAGTGGAATTTCTAAGTGTATATTCGGGGCTCATAGGGAATAAGCATACAGGGTATCATGCGTGGTTCCTTGCAGTTCAGACCACCACGTAATACCCCTGGTCTCCAATGGAAGAGAGCCAGGTCAGGGCTTACAGCTTGAAAAGATCATCAACAGGGTCCTCAAGGATCAGATTATGCCCCCAGAGACAGTCACTCCTAACTGCCTTTCATGCAAACACGACTTCAGATCCATTGGGCAGATTTCACCCATTCACTTTTTCATTCTGCAACCTACTAGAAAGTAAATGAGAAACCCAAACCAAAAATACGTATTAAAAGGAAAAAATGCTGTAAAGGAACCCCAAATGCACCTCTCCTGACATGAATGTTTTTAAGTTTTTCCCCTCCATGCAACAACACTTTAAAATGCGTATCAGACAGAGAAAATAGGAAGCTCCTTTGCATCAACAACAAAAAGGAAGACTCCCTAGTCTATGTGGATGCTTATCATGGTTAGGAAAGGGGAGTTAAATCCCACACAGAATGGGGGTTTTTAAGACATCCTAAGATAATATGATAGATACCTGGCAAAAAGTCTTGAGAATTACTCCTCAAGTAACTGTTGGGTCCTGTTTTTTAAATGTACTAACGCTGACACTTACAAACTAACTACGTGATCCTGGGACAGTTGCTTGATCTGAGTCTGTCATCTCACTTGTAAAACTGTAATAGCTACTGCCAATTAGTTGAAATAATACATGCAAAGCAGTACCCAGGAAGTACTGCCTACTGTAAGCTACGATGATTTTAAGAGTAGGAGTCTAGTGAATTCTTCACAGAAGCCACTTAGCTGTTGACCATGCTGTCTTGGCTGCTGGGCTATCTAAGCAGCTGTA